GCCCCATAACTCACACTGCTGGGCCTATGCACTTCTGTTTTCTCTCCTATTTACTATTACCCAACTGCATTTAGTTTCTGATTTACATCAGATCCCTATTTAAGGGGTCAATCTTATCAGAGAGTTATTTCCCAGATGAGTTATATAAATGAGCATCTGAACCAGGCACAGTGGTACACACCTGTAATTCCAACTACTGTGGAGGCTGAGGCAGGAGAATCACAAACTCAGCGAGTTAACAAGACCCTGTCACAAAAATAAAAAGTAAACTAGGACTGAGCAGGGCATGGTGGCTCACACCTCTAATCCTAGCAACTTGGGAGCCTGAGGCAGGAGGATCACAAGTTCAAGACCAGCCTCAGCAATTTAGTAAGGCCCTAAAGACCCTGTCTTAAAATAAAAAAGGGTGGAAATGTAATTCAGTTTTTAAATGCCCCTGGTTCAATCCCCATCACCACCCAAAAAAATAAAATAAAACACAGTACCCTGGCCCCAGACACACTGACTTCTCTTACTGGACTTTTTCTTCTTAGCACTGACCATCAACTGACAGTTGATTTTTGTTTTTATGTAAATACATAAAATTCATTTATTTATTGTGTGGTTACAGATTGAACCCAGGACCTGAAGCGTGCTAGGCAAGCACTCTACCACCGAGTTACCTATTTTTTGTTTTGTTTTTTAATATTTATTTTTTAGTTGTAGTTGGACATGATTCCTTTATTTCACTTATTTATTTTTATGTCATGCTGAGGATTGAACCCAGGGTCTCGCATGTGCAAGGCGAGCGCTCTACCACTGAGCCACAATCCCAGCCCCCTGATTTTTGTTTTTATGTTTGTTTTACTCATTTATTATTCCTCTACTAGCCTGTCAACAATTTGTTTTTATTTACTGTTCTAATCCCTAGTGTTTACAACAGTTTGTAGGGCATAGGCCCCTCCCCTGCCACTAATAAATACTCATTGAATGAATATATAAATTAGTTGAAGAAACTCACCTGTATAAAGGTGTCTCAGCCTGTAGTACTTTTGGATAGACTTTTTTTTTGTTTTTGAGGGACTGCAGATCCATCCCAGCTTCTCATGCTTTCTCAGTAAGTACTCCGTCACTGAGCTACACCCTCAACCCCAGGTTTTTTACATATTGTGTTGAATTTTTTAGTCAGGATTATTAAAATATAATATAAATATATAGAATAAATAATTTACCAATTGGCCAGGCACCGTGGCACATCTGTGTAATCTGTGACTCAAGAGGCTGAGGTAGGATTGCAAGTTCAGGGCCAGCCTCAGCAATCTAGCAAGACCCTATCTCAATATAGAAAATAAAAACAGGGAGGCTGGGGATATAGCTCAGTTGGTAGAGTGCTTGCCTCGAATGAAAAGAAAAGAAAAGAGAAGGAGAAGGAGAAAAAGAAAAAGAAAGAAAGAAAATATGTGGCTCAGTGTAAGCACCCCTGGGCTCAATCCCTGGTACCTAATTAATTAATTAATTAATTATTTCACCAATTGGATAATGTTTGACAAAAATATACAATAGTATAGATATCTCCACAATCATGCTGGGGAACATTTCCAATTTCATTAACTTATCCAGAAAATCATCCATTTCTCTAAAAAAATTTTTGAGGGGGTGGGTACTGAGCTACATACCCAGTCCTTTTTATTATTTTAAGACAGGGTCTTGCTAAGTTGGTGAGGCTGGCCATGAACCTACAATCCTCCTGCCTCTACTTCCTGAGTCACTGGGATTACAAGTGTGTGCCACCATGCCCAGCACTATTGTTTTTTTTTTTTAATTATGATCTAATAATCTTTTTTTATTACGTTTCATTGATTTTGAGACTGTATTTTTGTACCATTTAAAATTGAATACATAGCTACTAAGTGATTATTAAGTACACTATTATTGTCTGAATTACTCTTTTGACCTACTTGATATGATAAAGTGGTATTGGTTCACAATTGCAGTTGTGTTTTTTATGTTTCCTTCTTGTATTTCAGAGAGTTTTGCTTTCTACATTTTCTTTCCATTTCATTCTTGCTTTGTATCCTATTTGGGTTTTTGTTTTGTTTTTATCTTTACCCAACAGAATTTTGCCTATCCCCCACTCCTTTTTTTTTTTTTTTTTCTTTAATCTCATTGTTTTAAGAATGTCTCTTCTAAACAGTATATGATGTATTTAAATATTTTTTGTTGAAATGAAATTTATCTAACAAAATTAAACATTCAAAACAAACAATTCAATGAAACATACATAGAACATTGATTATATGCAACCACCACCTCTGTACCTATTACATTTTAATTCTTCATTGTAATTTTTTTTAAAGAGAGAGAGAGAATTTTATTTTATTTTACTTTATTTTATTAGTTTTTGGCAGACACAACATCTTTGTTTTTGTATGTGGTGCTGAGGATTGAACCCGGGCCGCACGCATGCCAGGCGAGCAAGCTACCGATTGAGCCACATCCCCAGCCCCTTCATTCTAATTTTTTAGATAAAATACTTTTAATTATTTTCTCTACTTATCAACTAGAAGAATTCAATAGGATATTATAGTCTCTCATTTTAGTTTGGATAATGTTTAGCTTCAAGAAACATAAAATCCTAAAGCAACAGTAAATTAAGGTAGAAGGAGATTTCCCTCTCAAGTGAAAGAAGCCCAGGTTTTCTGGCTTGGCATTCTGTGGTATCACAAAGAGCCTTTGCTCACTTTGTTGCTTTGCTGTACATGGCTTTCATTTTCAGTGAGATAGAGACTACTTCTTTTAAGCACCTGTCCTAGGAGTTCATATCCATTTCTGACTATATCCTATTGGCCAGAACTGAGTCATGTGGCCAGACTGATAAATATTTTTATTCTAGGCAGCCATGTGCATAGCTAAAATTTAGGATGTTCCATTATAGAGGAAGAGGAAGAGGAAGCAGATAACAGGAAACAACCAGCAGTTTCTGCTACACTACCTCATGTACAGATGTAGCACTTGCGGCTTACTCCTTCTTTTACCACCTACCAATTTCCTAGCTTTTAAAGGTGTCAGGATTTTTTTTTTATTCTCATTTGTTACATATGATAGCAGAATGCATTACAATTCATATTATACATATAGAACACAATTTTTCATATCTCTGGTTGTACACAAAGTAGAGTCACACCATTTGTGTCTTCATACATGTCCTTAGGGTAATGATGTCCATCTCATTCTACCGTCTTTCCTACCCCTATGCACCCTCCCTTCCCCCTCCCTTCCCTCAATGCGATTTTATTAATAATAGTAGCCATTAGTTTCCAGTATGGCAGTATTTAATCTTCATAATAACCCCTGCTTAGGATAAATATTGTTATTATCCCTATTTTTCAGAAAGATCGAGCACCTTACTTAATGTCAAACATCCAGCAATTCAGACCCATGCCACAGTGCCTAGAGTAATCACTATACATTTTAATAACTTCAGAATCATTTAATTTTTTACAATACATATCTTTTCTTTGAAGAATAATTTCTGACAATTGCATTGTTTTAGAATCCTATTAATATCACTTATATAGAATTATTTACCCTTTCTGCTTTTTGCCACTTATGTTTTTGTTTTGCAGTACAGGGGGTTAAACCCAGGGGCACTCTATCATTGATTAACATTTCCAGCCCTTTTTTATTTTTCATTTTGAGACAGGATCTGGCTGTAGAGACTGACCTCAAACTAACTGTCTTTCTGCCTCAGCCTCCTGAGTCAGCTGGGATTACAAGAGTGCCTCACAACCCCTGACCTTGCCATATCTTTTTTTAATACAATATATTTACTTTTTTCTTCAGAATTTTATTGTTTTGTTTAGTCTTTTAATCTTTTTTTTTTTTGAGATTTTGAAACATAGATGAAAGTAAAGAGAATAGTATAACAAATCACTATGTAGATTGAGCAGGTATTTTTGCCAATTTTTTTTCCAATCTTTTTTTTTTTAATTGGTTTGATCACTTTTCTTGTCTCGCTGCCATTCTTTTGTTTCTAAAGATTTTTAATCAAGTCTCATTCATTGTACAGAAAATACTTTAGGAGATATTTCTAACTTCTAAGTATTTTGTCTTAAGCATAATCTACATACTATTATTATACATTTCTAAATTAATAATTTGTTAATATGACAGGGTCCACTTCACATTTCCCAGATTATCTCCAAAGTGCTGTTTCACAGTTGGTTTACGAAAAGGAAGATCTAAACAAGCTCCATACTTTGTATTTCATTGATATGACTCTTTCGATGTTTAACAGTTTCCCTATCTTCCTTTTGTTATGCTGTTTGTTGAAACTTTTTAAATGTGTATTATCTTTGCTAATCTGAGAGTGTCTGCTTTTGCCCTACTAAACTAATGGCTTCTAGTTGGAGCATATTTGCTTCTATTGGGGCAAATATGTCTGAGACCAAACGTATTTGTACATGATGTTTATTTTTTTAAAATGCTTGCAGGGGCCAGGCACGGTAGCACATGCCTGTAATCCCAGCGGCTTGTGAGGTGGAGGCAGGAGGATCGCGAGTTCAAAAAACCAGCCTCAGTAATTTTAGCGAGGCACTAAGCAACTCAGTGAGACCCTGTGGCTAATAAAATACAAAATAGGGCTGGGGATGTGGCTCAGTGGTCGAGTGCCCCTGAATTCAATCCCTGGTACCCAAAACCAAAAATTTAAAAAAATAAAAATGCTTGCAGGGTTTTTTTGTTTTTATTATTTTTGGAAATAAAGACTGCACCAAAATATTTCTGGATCATGAATGACAGATGTCTGAATAGGTATAGGTGTGCTTTTTATTCTGTGCCAGAAATTACTAAGTGATTATGGCACTCTCATTGAAGACACAGATGCCTTCAAAACAAGAAACAGAACAAAAAAAACATGATTTTGCCATTCCTAATGAAGGTGTTGGTCTCTTTAAGTTTTGTAGCATGACTGTTCAGACATTAAATCTTTCCTTTTTTCCTCCATTCTTTCTCATTTTAAAAAAAAAAAAAATATTTTCTTTTCCTATCAGTCCTCATCATTCTGGAATAACTTGTAAATATTTGGGTTATGTGTCCACATTTTTAATTTCCCCCCCCCCCAATATTTTCATCTGTATTTTCTCCTCTGTATTATAGTAGAGGCTCCATCAAGTCATTTATTTTACTAATTCAGTTTTCTGGTCTTTTTTTTTTTTTTATGGGGGGAGTTGTTGTTTTCAGTTTTCTATTCTATTTAACTGCTGCTTACTGCATTTCCTATGGTTTTTCCTGGTTGTTTTTCTCTATATGACTGCCTAATCTAGATTGAAATGCAGTTATTTGATTCTTACTTTTATTGAGGTTTAGTAATATTCAGTAGTGTTAAGTTTAAACTCAGTTAATTTGATTGATTGATTGATTAACCCAGAATCATTTATTGAAAGATCAGTTTTCCCCACTGAACCACATGTTGTCTTGTCATCCGTCAGGTGGTTATATATATTTGGATCTCTTTCTAGACTCTGTTCTGCTCTAGTGGTTTATTTATCTATCTTTGTGCCACTACTATGAAATCTTATTAACTAAGGTTTCTAAATTTGCGCTTATTTTTTCAATGACTTTTCGTACTAATTCCTCAGATTGGTACCCTTCTGTAATGCCTTTTTATTTATTTGGTGAATTATTTTTCCATCCTTAGCTATATTTGTTTTGAGTTTAGATGGTTCTTAATATTTTCAGGTACAGATAAAGGGAAAAGAGGAATGTTTGATTTATACTGTTGGAGTTAAACTCTTCTAAAGGAGAGTAGAGAGGCAGCTAGGGCTAGATGTCACTATAGCTAAATCCAGTGTTTATTGCAGTAGACCAAATTTCTCAACTTAGTGTTCCTATTCTAGGTTTTTTGCCTCTGTTAGAAGCCAGCCAGGGCAGGGGTCGTAGCTCAGTGGTAGAATGCCTACCATGTGTGAGATCCTGGGATCGATCCCCAGCACCAGAAAAAGAAAAAGAAAGCAATAGCATTCAGACTCAGCATTGTCCTCCTTCTGCCTCATCTAATCACCCACATTAATTATAAACCCAGCCCATCAGCCTTGGTAGAACCTAGGTGTACCCTTCTAACTGTATCCCCACACACCTTGGCTCTTGTCCTAGTCCTTCCAAGGTAAGGGTATTATTAGTGGGGTACTGCTGCTAAGCTCTCCTTTGTGTTCTTATTGAGCCCACAAAGTGTGGAACATCAGTTGTCCTTTTTCCTCATTCCAGTCTCCTCTGCAGTTTATCTTGCATAAAATTCCTCAAAGTTTCTGGTATGTAGTTGCTTTTTTCTTCAGTCATTTCACTAGAGAACTGGAAGGGTAGATGAGTTAGAAACATGCATTTGAAGTCCTTCTAATTAGAGGTTGATGCTAGTTTTTTAAAAATGTATTTCTAGCCTTTCAGGTTGGATACTTTCAAAGTTATTGTTCATTTTATTAAGGTGGGCATTGTACTTAGAATGTGTTTGCATGGGTTTGTTACTTCATAACAAATAGCTCTGCTGTTCTCCTATAAAACTCAATTTCATAGCTTGGCTCCCCCCAGCTTGGCTCCCCGCAGCACACACACACACAGAGACAATCTGGATATAAGAGGCCCATTAAGAGAAGGAGGAAGACAGTGACAAATATCTAGAATGAAGTAGGAGTGATTGTTTTGACACTCCTGAGTTTCAGATGATCTGCCTATGTGCCTTCATTTGATAAAAATGCCACATGGCTCTCTTGGCAGTTGTGTAAGAGAAACTGACCCTGTGATTAGGGATAACCCAAGGAACTCTTTGAGAATTTTGTGTGCTTGGGGAGCCAAAGCCCTTTCCCAGGCCAACTTGTCTATGGCTCAGCTGGGGAGCAGGGGCTGTTTTCTATATTCTTTGTAATTCTAGTGCAGGTCATAATTCTCAGGAATTGGTAAGTAAGAAAGAGTACACATTTAGATGTTTGGAGCTCATTATTCCTTCATGTTTTGCTTTGTAGTATAGCTAAAGATTTATTTAGCTGTAAGTTTTATTCTCAACTTCAGTGAAAACAGCACAGAAATTTTTCAATTTTTATATTGTAGTTCAAATATAAGAACTTAAAATAGACCCGCCATTGACATTTTTTGAAGAGAAAAGTAATAAGAGGAAATTTAACTTCATAGTTAAAAATCTAAGCTTCAGGAGCTGGGGTTGTGGCTCAGCAGTAGAGCATTTGCCTAGCATGTATGAGGCCCTGAGTTCGATCCTCAGTACCACATATAAATAAATGAAATAAAGGTATTGTGTCCAACTACAACTAAAAAATAGATTTTTAAAAAATATATTTAAAAAATCTAAGCTTCAATGTAAACATTTCTCCTTTCCTTAAGAATTAGGCCTGATCAAGGTTCATACCCACCAGTATGGAGTGGAAGAAGGTAAATCACAACTAAAGACCTTGGCACTTCTGTAAGAAATTTAAATAACAGGCAGACATATAGAGATTCATAACATGTACTTGGTGCCAGCTAAACCACAGAGAAGATACTGTATTTGTGGTCCAGGGAAGTTTAAATATTTGTGGTCAAACTTAAAATTCAACTTAAAACTCTCATGTGTGATGGAAGCTTTCCAGAAACTGCATGGAGGGTGTGCAAGCTGCATAATCTCTCAAAGGCCTTTTCTCTCACTGAACTGAGCTAGAAAAACCAGTTCTCCTTCCTTTATACTGTGTAATAGTGTGTAGACTCCCTGGCACTCCAGTTACCAACCCAGGAAGCCCTCTCTGCTTTGTGGCTCACTCCTGATTAATTGTCATCTAAAATCCTGTCCCTGTCTATCTTATAGAAAACAACAATATTTCTTCCTCGCCCAGATAGATACTTTGTCCTTCTTATCCTGCCTTATTTTTCTCACAGTGCTTCCCACCACTATCTGATTATCTATCTCAAAGGAATATTAGGCTCCATGAGAGCAGGAACATTGTTTTATCCTTTGCTGTATTTTTTGTGCCTTTAATAGGGCCTGCCATACCATAGCAGATGCTTAATATTTATTGAATACGTTCAGTGGGACACTTTAAAATGTTTGGGAAGTATGGTCTTGGGAGAAAAGAAATGTATTTCCTGGGCAGCATGCAGACTAGGTGCACATACATATATATTCTTTTCACGTGCTTTTGTGTCACAAATGCAGCCCCTTGTGTCCAGCCTTTTGTTCGAGACCCTACCTGACTAAGGAATATGTGGTTGCTGACTACTCCCAGGCCTGCTGAACTTGAGCATGACTGATGGACTTGGATCATCTTCAGGAGTGTTCTCCTCTTTGCTTTTCTTTCTGCCTTTACCAGTTCTTCCTGTCAGTCCTGCCAACACAGAGAAATGTATTACAATAAACATGTTAGGTTTTCTGGGTCAGTTCCAAAAGTTAATTATTTATAATCCTTAGCATTTGCTATAAAATGTGCTTTATCTATAAAAACTAAGAAGCTCATAGATAATCACATGTGAAAATATATGCATAAATTAAAGTATACTCTCAGGATGGGGAACAGAGGGTCTAGAAACCAGAGGTGAGTGAGATGATTTTGTTTTTAAAATTCAACCTTTTGTGTGCCATTTGTTTGTATCATGTGCTATCTTGTTGTTGTTGTTGTTGTTGTTGTTTATTTTGGGTATCAGGTATTGAATCAGGGGCACTCAAGCACAGGGCCACATCCCCATCCTATTTTGTAGTTTATTTAGAGGCAGGGTCTTACTAAGTTGCTTGGTGCCTCATCATTGCTGAGGCTAGCTTTGAACTCACAATCCTCCTGCCTCAGCCTCCTGAGCTGCTGTGATTACAGGCATGCACCACCATACCCAGCTTCATGTGCTGTGTTTTTAAACCACACTGTACTATGCAGCCTTAGTTTGGCCCAACACTTGAAGCTAGGTTTCCACCATGTCGTGAAGGCCTCTCAGATGAGATGTTCTCTTTGAGCCTCTTTACTGATTTGTCAGCAAAAGTGACTTTATCCTAAACAAAAGAATTCAGTGACAACTTTTAGTTATGTGTTGGCATTTTTAAAAAGTTTAGCCAGGTATGGTAGAGCTCACCTGTAATCCCAGCAACTCAGGAGGCTGAGACAAGAGGATCACAAGTTCAAGGCCAACCTCAGCAACTTAGTGTGAGGCCCTAAGCAACTTAATGAGATGCTGCCTCAAAATAAAAAAGAAGGGTTTGAGATGTAGCTCAGTGGCTAAAAATCCCTGGGTTCAATCTATGATACCAAAAAGAAAATTCAATAAGATATATTCCATGCTTGTATAATTTTGTCAAAATGGATTCTGCTGTTGTGTATAACTAAAAAGAACCAATTAAAAAAAAAATTTAAAGCCACACTGAGCAACTTAGTAAGAGCCTGTCTAAACATAAAAATAAATAAAGGATGGGGGAATGTAGCTCAGAGCATTTGCTTAGCATGTGTATGAGCTGGGTTAGATCCCAAGTACTGCAAAAAATAATAATAATAATAATACTGGTCTGGGGTTGTGGCTCAGTGGTAGAGCACTCACCTAGCACGGGTGAGGCACTGGGTTCGATCCTGTGCACCACATAAAGATAAATAAATAAAGGTATAGTGTCCATCTACAACTAAATAAAAATATTTTTTTAAAATGTACTAATACTGGGCCTAGGAGTATAGGTCAGTGATAGAACGGCCTGCCTATTATGTTTCAGGCCTTGGATTTGATCCCCAATGACACATACACACAAAAGTTGAGGCTGCATGTAGGTTTCCCTAGTACAGGCTGGTACAGTTTTATCCTCTTTCTTCTGTCTTATCAGTATATAGCACTGAAACTATACTTCAAAGTAGTTTATAACTGTTCGCATATCCTTCTAGGTTTGTGCTTCAAACGTAGAGTAAGCCCCATTCATAGTTGGTGTCTTTTAAGCCTGTTCTTAGTTTACTTACTTGGAAAGATTTAATAAATAACCAGAAATAGGGCTTGGAGTGTAGCTCAGTGGTAGAACACATGTCTAGCATGTTCACGCCCTGGTTCAATCACCAGCACTGCACAAAAAAAAAAAAAAAGAAGAAAAAAAATTTTATATATATATAATTATATATATATATATATACACACACACACACACACACACAGCAGCTTATTTGCCTCTTTTTAAAAACCTTTAGGATATACAACATAAACTTGGTGATCAAGAATGGATCACATGAGATATCAACTCTAATGCCATTTTACCAGAATGACCTGCAGAAAAATACATCTTTCTATTCTAGATGTAAGTCATAGTTTTCATTACGCTCTGTGCTAATCAGAAGAAAACACCAGATAATTCCTTTAGTCCTTTAATAAAATGAGGATGATCAGATTTCAGTAAAGATTAAATGAAATAAGCATAGCTAGGTGTGGTAGTACATACCTGCAATCCCAGTAATTTGGGAGGCTGAGGCAGGAGGATCTTAAGTTCAAGGACAGCCTCCACAGTTTAGCTGGACTCTGTCTCAAAAAAAATAAGGGCTGGGAATGTAACTCACAGGTACAGCACCCCTGGATTTAATCCCCATTACTGCAAAGTAATAATAATAATAGCAATAATAAAAATAAATAAATATTTCTAGACTTTTAAAATAAGTCTCTCTCACTGGCCACAGTGGCACATGCCTATCATCCCAGAGGCTGAGACAGGAGAATCAAAAGTTTAGAGCCAGACTTAGCAACTTTTTGAAGCCCTAAGCAACTTAGTGAGACCCTGTCTTAATAAAAAGAGCTGGGGGGCTGGGTTGTGGCTCAGTGGTAGAGCACTTGCCGAGCATGTATGAGGCACTGGGTTTGATCCCAGCACTAAATTAAAATAAAGTAAAGGTATTGTGTCCATCTACAACTTTAAAAAAAAAAGTGCTAGGGATGTGGCTTAGTGGACAAGTGCCCATGGGTTTGATCCCTGGTGCAAAAAAAAATTTAAAAAATAATTTTGTCTCTTTCAATGTATGTTTTCCTAGTGAGGGGAGGACTGTTAAGAGGACTCCAAAGAGTTATAATCCAGTCACACATCACATTCCTGTTCATCTTCCCAGATCATTCTGCAGTTTCTCTTGTTTTCTGTAATTCCTGCACATTCCCTCAAATCCTCCACCATTCTCATTTCTATCCTTTCAGCTGTTGCTCTAATCTTGTGGTTTTAGATGTCAAAAACCTATTAGATTTACCTTGTAGGCTAAGATTTAGGTCCAGCAAGAAGTTAGGCAGGCTTCAGGTAGCTTTGCAGAAGGCAGGGCAAGTGTGCTACAGTCAGATATCCCAGGATTCTCCTAGAAACAGAAACCCACAAGTGAGCCCTTGAAGGAAAACAACAAAACACCACTTTTGAAATAAAACCATACTGTCCTGGGCATTTCAGTCCTTCCCATGCTGGCCTCCTTTCGGCACCATTCCTTTCTGCCGTCCCACCCAACTCTCAGCCCTGGCACACAGTTCCATGAACATGCCACCTGCCTTCTTGCTCTGGCCCTATCCTTTGGCTGCACAGTTTATTTTTTCCACATCCTCACTGTCTTCCAGCTCCAAGTTAAATAACCCTCACAGATGGCTTGTTCCATCAGAGCTGTTTAAGAACTCAGGACAGTGAACTGGTGTTCAGAGGAGCTGCCAAAGCCCAAGACTGCCCTTGCTCCGATAGCTCAAGACAATTTTGTCATCAGCTCCCTGGAAATCCATGAACAGCAAGCAGATATGCTAGCAGGTGAGGGTGGAGGGATGTCTGTTTAATACTGTAAGCCTCCAACATCTAGCAACTAGTTCTCATTTAGATTTACAAGTCAGAATCTGGAGCTGGATACATTGCATACTCCATTTTCCACAGAAGACAGAGAGAGCACTTTGTAGTTGGCAATTCTCCCCCACTTTTTTATAGCATGGAAACCCAACAGGAAATGGCAGTCCCATTTGTGTATGGGCTCATGGCTTAAGTCCTTGGTGAACCTCTTGGTGACCTCCTGAGAGGTCTAGATCTCTGCCCTGCCTGACCTGAAGGGCAGTATTCCCAGCTGTCAGCACGCCCTTGGGAAGAGCGGGAACTTCAGATGCCTATTGAAAATCCTGCAGAGACAAGACCCAGAATTTCACTCTTCCTTTCCTGTCAGCACAGACAAGGAGGTTTCCTGCCTGCCTTGTCATCAGCTTTGGAGCACTTTCCTTCTACACCCTCCTATGTATGCAGTTGTCTATAGGATTTGCCCCTTTCATTTTCCCAGCACCCTCCTTCTCAGGTGGGCCGGTTAATTAAGCCCTCATGACAGGCAGCCTTTTCCTTGTCCTTACAGGAACTCTTCTGAGACTTGAGACCTCTCTGGTCAGGACCTGCCTCTCAATCCCTTACTTTTTGCTCTTCTGTAACTGCAGCCTTTGTAAAAAAGATTTCTCTGAGGTCTCCAAGGGAGGGCAGTATGTGCCATTTGCTGCTATAGGAGTCTCTACCTCAGTAAGCAGAGTTCCCTTGAGAGACTGCCTCCCTTCCTCTGATAAAGGGCATATTGGCAGGTTCTCTGCTTGAACTCTGGCATAGCAGAGCAGGGTACAGTGGCATGTTCAGAGTGGTCTGGCCAGACAAAGGAAAGTTAACTTTCAGCCCAGAGAACAGACAGTTGAATGAAGAAGCTTCCCCTGGAAAGAGAAAGGAATGGGAAGTGAAGGAAAATTCTATGGCAGAGAAGTGTTCCCTGAGAACTCAGTCAGAAATCAGCATCTCTTCTCTAAGCCTGGTCTTTCCACTTTTCCACTGAGAAGTGGGGAGGGGATATGCAAACTATTGTTTCTCTTCTCCTCCATCATACCTTGTTCTAAGATCAAGGGTTGACTGATGTTGCTTGAATAGTAAGTTCTGGGGTTGGTAGATTTGTAGAGCTTTTGGGCACCAGATAGAAGGAGGAAGCTTTGATTTATTTTCCAGTACCTATGCCCTCTGATGGACTTTATTCTTTTTTTTTTTTTTAAGTTGTTGATAGACCTTTATATGTGGTGCTGAGAATCCAACCTAGTGCCTCATACATGCCAGGCAAGCACTGAGCCACAGCCACAGCCCCTGGACTTTATTTATTTATTTTTATGTGATGCTGAGGATCGAACCCAGGGCCTTGTATGCGCTAGACGAGCGCTTTATCACTGAGCCACAACCCCAGCCCCCTCTGGACTTTATTCTTTACAGTGCATCCAGTATAAGTTCAAGACTGTATAGCACAGAGAACTTTCAAGGGACATTCATATATAGGTCTTACCTGAGCATCCAGCAGTGACTAGTTTTATATATTCATTCAACTCATTGTCTGATCAGTAGAGGTCTTATCCATAATGCATCCAGGAAAATGAAATAAATCTGAATGAGAGAACTTCTTTTAGGGCAGGTACCCTGGTAAATATTTAATTTCAATATTTTTGCTCTTGCCTGTAGCTTAGCCAAGCACCCAGTTTCTGTTCATGTAAATGCAAGTTGATCACAGTTGTTTATTTTGTCCTGGATATCTTTGGGCCTCTGCTGAGCCAAGACAGGTGCAGTATCCTTTAAGTAAGAAGGGCTTGAAGTAGGTCCCTTTCTGTCTGCAAAAGTACCATAACCTTCTTGAGAGCCATCTAGTATAAAGACTGAACAAAGACTTGGGTTCAAATCCCAGCTTCAACACTGAAAAAATATTCATTTTCTCTGCAATTCAGTTTCCTCTTTCTTTTTCTGTCTCACAGGATTACTGTGATAATCAGATTAAATATCTTAATGCCTAGCAACTATCATTCATATACACCACAGCCACCAAGAAGCTGTGACCAATGAAAATTGCAGAGGAAGTAAAGTGCTGACATGCTCTACATGCCACTGCCCTGAACTCCTCAGTTAGCTTCTTGCATGCTAATGAGTTTTTGTTTCTAACACTGTCCTGCCCTGAGTTCGTTCAGTATTCTTTTCACTTGTGAGGATTTCTTTCATGATAAATATCCAAGAGCTTCAGTATGTCTGTGTGGTGATTGTCCTAGAAGGCAAGCTTCTGTACTGCCCTAGCGGTTCCTGGCAGACTGGTCTCCAGAGACTGTGCCTTATCTCTCTGCATTTTGGCTCTTTTAAGGATCCCTTCTGACTTCAGATCTGGTGAGAAGTTAACCAAAATGAGTGTCTTTAGTCTCCTTTGGGGCTCACAGGTTTGGCTTGTACCGTCTAAGTGGCCCAGAGGGAGCTGTGAAGTGTTGGAGACAGCCATGGGAAAGAAACAGCTCACACAAGAGCATGGTGCATAAGCCAGCAGCTCCCCTCTGCCTGCTGGAGCAGGCTCAGTGAGGCCGCTGACAGGAGTCTCCAGAACACTAAACAGGTGATTAAAACATCAGTATAAGTCTTTCCAAGCCTCACAGAAAGCCAAAAACTTAGTTTGGACACCAACAGAAATTTTCCGCTCTGGAGCTTTATACTCTGGTCCGCTGTTTCTTCCTCTGCTCTGTGGCCAGAGGAGAGCTCTTTGCTAACAATTCCATCAAACCCTCCAAATCTTCCTGAGTAGCTTATCCTATGAGAAGAACCTGTACCACCCATCTTTTTCCAATCATCAGAATTCTCTCTAACCTCTCACTGTTATTTCAGAGGTTGAATCTTCAGGGACAAGTCCAACACTGTCCCTTGTGACAGCTGAGCCCCAGCATGAAGCTCAGTGGCAGAACTCCTTCCCTTCCTCTCCAAGGTGACCGCCTAGAATCATAGAAACCTTTAACAATGAAAAGAGAAGTTGAGCGGTCCCACTTTTTTGTATTTAATCAAAAGATTTAAAATTGGTTTGTTGAAGAGATATCTTCATTACCATGTTCATTGCAGCATTATTCACATTAGCCCAGTGAAATAAACAAACAGATGAAAGGATACAAAAATGTGGTATACATATATAATGGAATATTATTGGGTCTTTGAAAAGAAGAAAATTCTGTTATTTGCTATCACATTGTTGGAATTGGAGAATGTTTTAAGTGAAATAAGCCAGACATAGAAAGACAAATACCACATGTTCTCACTTATATGTGGAACCTAAAACAATTGAACTAATAGAAGCAGAGAGTAGAATGATAGTTGTCAGTGGGTGGAGACTAAGGGGAATGAGGCAACTATCAAAGAATACAAAGTCTCAGGCATGAGGAAGAAGACATTTACAGGGTTATGTTTATGACCGATTGCACTGCATGGTGAATACAGTTAATAAGTATAGTGTACATTTCAAAATTACAAAGCATACATTTTGCCAGTATCGGTGAAACATACCTATAATTCCAGCAACTTGTGAGTCTAAGTCAGGAGGATCACAAGTTCAAGGCCAGCCTGGTCAACTTAGTGAGACCCTGTCTCAAAAAAATATATAAAAATATCTGGGCGTGTAGCTTGGTAGTAAACCACTCCTGGGTTCAATTCCCAGAGCCCCACCCCCTGCCAAAAGAAGACAGTGCATTTCAGATGTTCTGATCACAAAAAATAAGAATTTTGAGATGATGGATGTTAATTAGCTTGACTGAATTTTTACGTTGCATTTGTAAATCAAAACCTATAAATATATATAATTATAAATTACTATTAATTTACAATACTTTTTTATTGGTTACTTTTAGTTATATAGGACAGTAGAATCATTTTGACGTAATTATAAAAACATGGAATATGTCTTGTTCTAATTCAGTCTAATTCAGTAGTACCTTTCCTTCTGCTTCCCTTTCCCCACCCTCCACTCCCTTCCCTCTATTAATCTTTCTGCCATTTACCCATAGTTGTTTGTTTGTTTGTAGTTGGACATAATACCTTTATTTATTTTTATGTGGTGCTGAGGAGCGAACCCAGGGCCTCGCACATGTTAGGCAAGCACTCTACCAATGAGCCACAACCCCAGCCCTACCCTACCCATAGTTATTTTTTAAAATTAATTTTTTGGTGAGATTCACTGTGGTATATTCATATATGTACATAGGAAAGTTATGTCAGATTCATTTCACTGTCTTTCCTTTTCTCATCCACTTGTCCCTTCCCTTAATCCCCCTTTGTCTACTCCACTGAACTTCTGTTCTCTCTGCCCGATTTGCTGGGGTTTAGCTTCCACATATCAGAAAACATTCGGCCTTTGGGTTTTTTAGGATTGGCTAATTTTATTTATTTTTTTTTTTCTTTTTAAATTTTTTATTGTGGGTTGTTCAAAACATTACAAATTTCTTGACATATCATATTCCACACTTTGATTCAAGTGGGTTATGAACTCCCACCTTCACCCCATACACAGATTGCAGAATCACATCAGTTACACATCCATTGATTTACAAATTGCCATACTAGTGTCTGTTGTGCTTCGCTGCCTTTCACATCCTCCCCCCTCCCCCCTCCCCACCTTTCCCCTTCCCTCCCCTCCTCTCTCTCTACCTCCTCCACTGTATAACCCTGAGGGTCTCCTTCCATTACCATGCAATTTCCCTTCTCTCTCCCTTTCCCTCCCACCTCTCATCCCTGTTAAATGTTAATTTTCTTCTCCTGCTCTTCGTCCCTACTCTGTTCTTAGTTACTCTCTTTATATCAAAGAAGACATTTGGCATTTGTTTTTTAGGGATTGGCTAGCTTCACTTAGCATAATCTGCTCTAATGCCATCCATTTCCCTGTAAATTCTATGATTTTGTCATTTTTTAATGCAGAGTAATACTCCATTGTGTATAAATGCCACATTTTTTTTATCCATTCGTCTATTGAAGGGCATCTAGGTTGGTTCCACAGTCTTGCTATTGTGAACTGTGCTGCTATGAACATCGATGTAGCAGTGTCCCTGTAGCATGCTCTTTTTAGGTCTTTAGGGAATAGACCAAGAAGGGGAATAGCTGGGTCAAATGCTGGCTCCATTCCCAGCTTTCCAAGAAATCTCCATACTGCTTTCCAAATTGGCTGCACCAATCTGCAGTCCCACCAGCAATGTACAAGTGTACCCTTTTCCCCACATCCTCGCCAGCACTTGTTGTTGTTTGACTTCCTAATGGCTGCCAATCTTACTGGAGTGAGATGGTATCTTAGGGTGGTTTTGATTTGCATTTCTCTGACAGCTAGAGATGGTGAGCATTTTTTCATGTACTTGTTGATTGACTGTATGTCCTCCTCTGAGAAGTGTCTGTTCAGGTCCTTGGCCCATTTGTTGATTGGGTTGTTTGTTCTCTTATTGTCTAATTTTTTGAGTTCTTTGTATACTCTGGATATTAGGGCTCTATCTGAAGTGTGAGGAGTAAAGATTTGTTCCCAGGGTGTAGGCTCCCTATTTACCTCTCTTATTGTTTCTTTTGCTGAGAAAAAACTTTTTAGTTTGAGTAAGTCCCATTTGTTGATTCTAGTTATTAACTTTTGTGCTATGGGTGTCCTATTGAGGAATTTGGAGCCCGACCCCACCGACTGTAGATCGTAGCCAACTTTTTCTTCTATCAGACGGCGCGTCTCTGATTTGATATCAAGCTCCTTGATCCATTTTGAATTCACTTTTGTGTATGGCGAGAGAAAGGGATTCAGTTTCATTTTGTTGCATATGGATTTCCAGTTTTCCCAGCACCATTTGTTGAAGATGCTGTCCTTAGGATTGGCTAATTTTAAATCCTTTAAAATTTATATATACCAAGAAGTGGATAACTGGGTCAAATGGTGGTTCCATTCCTAGTTTTTTGAGGAATCTCCATACCAGTCTCCGTATGGTTGCACCAATTTGCAGTCCCACCAGCAATATATGAGTGTCCCCTTTCCCCCACGTCCTCACCAACATTTGTTGTTATTTGTTCTTGGTAATTGCCATTCTGACTGGAGTGAGATGAAATCTCAGTGTAATTTTAATTTCCATTTCTCTTAATTGCTAGAGATGTTGAACATTTTTTATATATATTGTTGACCATTTGTATTTATTCTTTTCAGAAGTGTCTATTTAGTTCCTTTACCCATTTATTAATTGGGTTATTTTTAAAAGAAGAAATGGAAAGAGATCTTCAGAATCATCAGCTTTTTGTAGGCAAGATTCAGTAATTTGCCCAAGGGTCATACAAGTTAGGAGTTCTTGAGGGATATAGCTTAGTGATAGCATGCTCAAGACCCTGGGTTCAATTCCCCATAACCAAAAAAAAAAAAAAAGGCCCTTGTTTTTGACTAGCATTAAGGTGCACCTCGTGTGGAGGTACATTGTATCTTGACCTGGGGCAATAGCTTCCTGTTAGGATAAGCCCCAACGTGCTGGAGCTTGGCTTCTTTTGATGTCTTATTTCAAATTTGAAAATTCTATAGGCAGCCCTCTAAAGAGAACACCTATCCCTTAGTGAGTCTGAATCTCCTTGAGAAGCAGTACCTAGCAGAAATAACATCTCTGAATCTGCCCAGGGGGCTGTTTTGCATAATTTCAGGGAGCATAGTTCACATAGTATACAGGGTGAGTGTAATCTCTCCGTGATGTCCTCTGGAATTGTCCTAAGGCTGCCATCTGCTTGCCATGATCAGCCCATCCATGTTGTGCAAGTACCCGTAGTGTATGTTAGATACTGCAGTAAGTTTTACTTGAATACACTACACACACAGTATCTGCTTTCAAGAATCTTACTTAAGGGGAAAAGTGGCATATTAGTGGGGAAGAGATATTGAGAAGCATAAAGAAGATAAAAGTTAGGGTGATATGAGGAGAGTACCCTCTCAAATGACAAATTTAGGATACAAAGAGTTCTTGATAGCTAGGTACAGTAATTTATGCTGAGGCTGTAATCCCAGTGACTCTGGAGGTTGAGCAGGAGGATTGCAAGTTTGGGACCACACTCAGCAACCTACCAAGGCCCTAAGACCCTGTATCAAAATTTAAAATTTTTAAAAAGGGCTGGGGATATAGCTTGGTTATTGATTTAGTTGTTATGCACCCCTGAGTTCATTTCTCAATATAAAAAAAAAAAGTTGTTTTTTTTTAGAGAGAGAGAGAAATTTTTAATATTTATTTTTTAGTTTTCGGCGGACACACCATCTTTGTTTTTTGTATGTGGTGCTGAGGATTGAACCCGGGACGTACGCATGCCAGGCGAGCGCGCTACCACTTGAGCCACATCCCCAGCCCAAAAAAAAGAGTTCTTGATAGGCTGCAATGGTATATGACAAGACAAAGTCAAAGAAGAACCAAGTAAAATAATGCCCTTGTCCAGAAAATCAACCACACCTAGTAATGAGCATGCAACACAGTTAAAAGGACGGAGAGACCTTGGGGAATAGTTAGGGGAGGACTTGTGCTCATTTGGGGGAAGACAATTTAGTCACATATGTAAAAATAATTTGGGGGTTTATTGATAGAAGCTTACAAGTTGTCAGGAGCAAGATGGTGAACAGCAAAAGTAATGCCATTTAGTCTATCCATAGAATTAAGGTATTCAGAACAAGGGAGGTAATATTCCACTCTATTCTCTGCTGCCAGGTCACATGTGGGCACATACTCACTTTAGGAGACTTTTTAGTCTTAGTGGAAGAATAAGCAGAAACTTGAGACAACTGAAGTGAGGAGTAGTGAGAAATGGGACTCTTTAGCCTAGAGAGGGTGTGATGGCAAATATCAAGTAATTTGAGTCAAGTCAGGTAGAAGCAGCATTAAAGTTTATATGGGGCCCCTGAGAACAGAATTAGAAGCATTAGGAGGCATATTTTGGGACTTGAAAAAGATAGACATTTCTGGGGCTTGGGTTGTGGCTCAGTGGTAGAGCGCTGGCCTGACATATATGAGGCACTGGGTTCGATTCTCAGCACCACATATAAATAAATAAATTAAATAAACGTCTAACAACAACAGCAACAAAATATTAAAAAAAGAGAGAGAGAGAGAGGCATTTCTACCACTTAGAAGAATCCAAAAGTAGAATGGGCTCCAACTAGAAAATGAAGCCCATTGTAGAATCAAGACAGTAACAGAGCACATGGTGACACATGCCTGTGATCCCAACAACTCAGGAGACTGAGGCAAGAGGATTGCAAGTTCAAG